TGCATTTAAATATATACAATACTAATTTGAAGATTACTAATATTAAACTAATGAAAACAGATTCACATTATGAAACACTTGAGTTTAAAGACTCAATACAATCAAACTAATGACAATATATGCTTTGGACTAATTTTATTTTTATTACATAAAAGTCATTTTATAATGCCATTTTAAAATTTATTTTATTGTGTAATTTTCATATTGAATGTCAAATTAAGCAAAAAGTGACATTATTAATGGATGTGCATTTAAATATAAATGAAATATTAAATGCTAAAAATTTTATATTAAATAAAATAAAATAAATGTTAATTAAACATTAAATTAAATATTTACAGTTTTTCTCGATTGCTAAAACACTATAACCAGGCTTTTGAACTAAAATTTCAAAACCATAACGCCATTTTTCAAAAAGCACACCCATTTTGCTGAACTATAAACACTATTCCCCTGCTTTAACACATGAGTCAGATTTGGTGAACTGTTACTGCAAAACTCTACACACAAATCCCTACATTTCTCAGTGCTTACACCATGTGGTCATTTAAAAAGCACTAGCATTCAATACTGTTCACTCAAGTCAGCACAGCTTGAGCTCAATTAGCAAACAATTACCCAGGTGGAAACACTAAGATGTTTGGGGAATTGGGTGAGACGTTATGGATTTGTTTACTGTTTTGAGAATACGAGGCATAGTTTCAAGAAATGTGTTTAAGCAATTGAGAAAAACTGTAATTAAAATATATTAAATGTATTAATATTACAATTAGCAGAATACTAATATTGAATGAAATCAGTATAAATACAGCTTCACATAAGTTTAAAAAGACTTAAAATGGTCAAATTATTGACTCCATGGTTTATTTTTTTTTTATTATATGTTATCTTTTTATAATGCCATTTATTTGTATATTTATGTTATAATGCCATTTCATTGTGTAATTTTAATATTAAGTGTCAAATTAAGCAAAAAGTGTGAAATTATTTTTCATTTGCATTTAAAAACAAATTGAATATTAAATGCTAAAACTTAAATATTAAAGTAAATAAATATTAAATTAAATGTCAAATGGTAATTTGCAGATTACTAATATTAAATAAATGAAATCAGTGTAAAAATAGCATCACATTATGAAACACAAATGTAAAAAGACTCAACACTCAAACTACTGGCTGAATGTTTTGGATTTATTTTATTTAGTAACATGGAGGTCATTTTTATGATGCTATTTTATTGCATCTATTTTATTGCGTGTCTTTTTCATATCGAGTGTCAACGTGTGAAATAATTTATTTGTATGCTTTTAAAAACATATATAAATTGCACAATAGCAGAATGAAGTCAGTGTAAAAACAGCTTCACATTATGAAACACTTCAAACGAATGACTGCATGCAATCATAAGTGTGTCAAAGTCAAAGAGTGAAAAATTAAGACTGTACTTTGATAAACCGGATTAATTTGGTTAATTATGAGGTGCTTTATAAGTGTGAGATGCAGTCAGATGTCCAGAATCTGAACTTTAGAGTCTATTTAATGTTGTCATTCAAAACAAATCCACAGGGAGCTGATTCACATCAACTCTTTCCAGCTTTGCTCCGTGTTTTCCGGACAGATTTGTGCTCCAGGTGATCGATTATTGTCTTATCTGGACAGAAGGAGGTTGGTTAACATCGTCTGAGCGTTAATCATAATCTCTCTGATGGAGTTTGTGCAGTAAAGCGCAGGTTTTTATGTTTCCCGCTGAGTCTGTAAAGAGTCATGAAACGGATCCCACATTCCCAGATGATCTGCTCCAGCTTTAAGAGACAAACGGGTTTCTGCTGCTGCCAGTGACTGCTGATATCGATACGCTTTATGAAATATTAAATGAGTTTCTGGAGGAAAACTGACTGGGGGGAAAAATCTAATAAAAAGCTTTCTTGGAACCAGACTCGGAAGTGCTCGTAAAAAACGAAGTTGTTTTTGCGAACATTTAGAGATTTTTGGCCATTTTCTTAACACATTGTTATTTTCTTCATTTATGGGAAGCTTTATGATTTAAAAGCAAGCTGTTTCTTTCTCTTTCTGCTCCACGGCTCCTGCTGCTTATGATAGACTTTAATGAACACAAATTAATCAGCTTTACGAGTAAATTCATTATTTTACTTCTTTTACGTTGTCTTTCTAACACATTAAAATTATTTTACATTTATTGTTCATGTGGAGTCTGGTTCAGTGTTATTTTTGTATCATTGAGATACTATTATAGTTTCTTTATTAATTAATTATTTGTAAATTATGTATTAAAAACATTTTTTTTGTTCTTTCAGATATAGTTCTTATGACTTTATTTCAGTTTTTATTAATAGTTTGAAAAGTTCCATATAGGTTTAATATTATATTTTAGATATAGTTTTATTAAATTTTTTCTTTCAGTTTTTATTAGTAGTTTGAATTAGTTTTTATTTTTTATAATTTTTATTTTAAATGTAGGTAAAGTTTTGATCATTTTGCTGTGTTTTTTTTATTTTTTTGCTGTTATATTTTATATATAGTTTTAATAATTTTTATTTCAGTTTTTATTAGTATTATTATTATTTTATATATTTTTTTGTTGTTGTCATTTTCATTTTCATTTGGGTAAATTTGCGTTGTTTTTTGCCATTATTATTTTTTTATATGTACTTCATATGAATTTTTATTTCAGTTTTTACTAATAGTTTGAATTTGTTTTTATTTGCATAATTTTAATATTAATTTTAAATAAAGATTTAGTAATTTTGCCATTTTTTATTTTCATTACTTTTATACAGTGCTTATGATTTTTTTAAATTTCAGTTTTTATTAATAGTTTGCATTTATTTGTATAATTTTCATTTTTATTTTTAGTGAAGTTTTAGTAATTTTGTTGTTTTTGTATTGCCATTTTTATTATTTATACATATAGAGTTATTTTATTTTTTATTTCAATTTTTTATTAATTATTATTTTAATAATTATCATTTAAATTTTTTTATACATATACTTTTTAAGAATTTTTTATTTTATCAAGTTAAACTAAAAGAAAATTTAACAATATTTGTTTTTATTTTATTTTATTTTATTTTAAAGTTTAGTTTTGCTTAATTATAATAACCCTAATCTGGTTCCTCCACATCTTCTGGAGTTTTTCCCCATTGAAGAATCATTCATGTCTGTATGAATCATAATTCTTCGGGTTGGGGTCTGTTGGAATCCCCATCATGAGCACTAGTGAGAACACAGTGAAGTGTCCCATCAGAAGCTCTGTCTAGTGTTCACTCATGTTTATGTGAATTGGTGGATTTCTGTCCCCGATCACACGTCACGCTTTGACATTTACAGCAGCTGCGGACGCTGTAATGATTGTAACATCTGTAAGATCCGCTGAACTTCACAAGAACAGGTCCCGTGGAGTGGTCTGCCAGCCGCTAGGCCTCATGGGAAACGTTTATACGAGAGTTCAGCGCTTCGGTTTCTTGTTTATATGCAGGAAATATATGAATTCAGATAAACTCAGAGAAAGCGTGACTGGTGCAGGTCAGTTATGAGTTAAAGACGGCATGAAATGAGAGCGGCGTCTGTAGCGCTGAGCTCATCTGTAGCTACAGACCACTACACTTTAAATCACTTTCTCAAATATGCAGCAAATATTCATGACTCATCTGGCACTCTGAGACATGCAGAGGTTATTTTTTATCCCGAGGAGGAGACAGGCTTCCATAGGATAGAGCCTAGTTACATGTGATTTTATCCGGACATTGTGATTTTTGCCATTTTTTAAATTTGTATTCACAATTTCTAAATTCAGAATTTCTAATGAATTTGTAATTTATTTTTTATTAATAATTTGAATTCATTTTTATTTTTTTAATGTTCATCACAATTATAGGTAAATTTGAAGCATTTTTTTTTGTGTTTTTGCCATTCCTTTTATAATTTCTAAACATAGTTTCAGATTTTTTACATTTTTTAATTAATAATTTTAATTATTTTTTAATTTTTCATGATTTTTTGTTTTAATTTTAGGTAAAGTTTTAGCAATTTTGTTGTGTTTTTTTGCTACTTCATATTTAGTTCTTATGAATTTTTATTTCAGATTTTATTAATTATTTGAACTAGTTATTTGATCATTTTTTATGATAATTTTAGGTAAAGTTTTAGTTTTGTTTGGGGGGGGGATTTTTATTATAATTTATATACAGTTCTTATGAATTTTCATTTGAGTTTTTATTAATAGTTTGAATTAGGTTTTATTTTTACAATTTTCATTTTAATTTTAGGTAAACTTTTAGTAATTTTGTTGTGTTTTTGCCATTCTTATTTCTATATTTTCTATATTTTTCTACTTTTTTAATAAAGTTTTAATTAATATTTTAAATTAGTTTTTATTTTTATTATTTTTGCTATAATTTTAGGTAAAGTTTCAGTAATGTTGTTGTATTTTTGCCATTTTTATTATTTCTGTAAATAGTGTTTGTGTTTTATTCGTTTTAATTTTTTATCATTTTTGTAATAATTTTATGTAAAGTTTTAGTAATTTTGTTGTGTTTTATGTCATTTTTCAAATTTCTATATATTTTTCATGATTTTTTTAAAGGTTCTAATTAATAGTTTAAATTAGTTTTTATTTGAATTATTTTTGTTTTAATTTTATATAAAGTTTTAGTAATTGTGTGTTTTTTTCTTTTTGTGTGTGTGTGTGAGATATGTTGCAATTATGTTTTATTTTTTTATTCCATGATATTCTCTTCTCCATTGCACTGATACATCTGTCAGGTAGCAGCACAGAGATCAGGTTTAAAGAAGACGGATGGATGACGGTGTGAATGTGAGCTCGTGTTCTGCCGAGTGCATTTGTCTCTGTGAAGGTTTGTCTGGTTAGTGACGTCTGCTCTGTGCTCATCACAGAGGAATGGCCATAAATCAATCTGACGTCTGCTCTGCTTCACGCTGAAGCGCCGTGTCAAGTGTTTGAACGCTGGCCCATGTGCAAGCCATTTGTTTGGGTTAAACGAGAAGAAATGATGGGCTGACGAGCTGCACATCTGGATGCACTAACAGTGAGCCGATGCACGCTGTCTGCAGGAATGAAGGAGAAACCTTGAGATTTCTCAACAGAGACGTGCTTCTTTAAGTGCTGTGAAGAACAGAAACGTATGAGAGACACCTGCAGCGTTCAGAGGTCATGTGACTGATGGAGGAGCCGTCAAACAGAACTGGACGCAACAGACTAATAAAAATTATTACATTTTATGAAATAAAAAAAATCAGTTTCTTGCTTTTATCTTAGAAATATGTTAAACGTTTAGAAAACAGGATAAGCACCAAAATAAATAAATAAAATCAGTACATGAAAATTAAAAATGCTGTTGACCCTGAAATTATAAAATAAAATAAATAAAATTAGTATATGGTGTAAAATTGCATATGTTGATGACCATGACATTATAAAATAAAATAAAATAATATGGTTTAAGATTAAATATGCTGACAATCCTGAAATTCTAAAATAATATAAATTAAAATTCAATAATAAAATCAAATAATATAGTGTAAAATTAAATATGCTGATAACCCTGGCATTCTAAACTAAACTAAACTAAAATAAAATAATGTGGTGTAAAATTAAATATGCCGTTGACCCTGACATTCTAAAATAAAATATATAATAAATAAAATAAGTATATGGTGTAAAATTAAATATGCTGTTGACCCTGATATTCTAAAATGAAATAAAATATGAAAATAAAATTAGTATATGGTGTAAAATTAAATATGCTTTTGACCCTGATATTCTAAAATAAAATATATAATAAATAAAATAAGTATATGGTGTAAAATTAATTATGCGGATGACCCTGATATTCTAAAATGAAATAAAATATTAAAATAAAATAAGTATATGGTGTAAAATTAAATATGCTGATGACCCTGGCATTCTAAAATTAAATGCCAAAAAATTTAGTATAGTATGTCAAATTTAATATGCTGTTGACTGACATTCTAAAATAAAATACAATAAAATAATAAAATAAAACAATATGAAATGACTATGGTTTAAAATGAAACAAGCTGTCTATGAACTGATTGAAAGACTGACGTTCATCTGTTCTGTTTTCTGTCTTTAATTAGCTGAGTCTCTCTGATGATTCGAGGGGCTCTCGTGTCATTTACTGATTGATTCCGCAGCTCATAAAACAATAGAAATGAAGCTCTAAATGAGTTTCGGGGTCAGATGTTCCGGTCAGCGGAGACGTTCTCTGTTATTAATGGAAACTCTGATGCACATTTAGTTCAGAGCAGTGATTTCTTCAGTCGACCTCTGAGCAGAACAAGGTCACGCCGCGGATCAAGTGTCAGATCTCCTGATAATGAGACGGAACGAGATTCTGGCTAAACTGAAGATCTAGCACGAGAACAAGACACACAAAAAACACTTTTTTTTTTTTTTTTTGATGTTTAAGAGAAACATTTCAGGCAACGATTCGTAAAATGTTTTATTTACTCTAAATGTTTTTTATTAAATAAAAAGTTTAATTTTTAATTTTTTGCTGTTTGAGTGAAACAGTTACATAAAGACAAAGAATTTGTGTCTTAGAAACAACTAAGACACAAATGTATTATTGTTTTTATTCATGTTTTTATTTATTTGTTTTATTTTTTGCTGTTTGAGAGAAATAATTGAGAAAAGGAATTATTGTTATTATTAGTAGTAGTACTAGTTTTTTTTTTTTTTTAGAATTTTATTTTTTATTTATAATTATTTTTTACATTTTTGCTGTTTGAGAGAAACAGTTGAGACAAAAAAATTATTTATATATTTACTATTTGAGGGAACCCATTGAGACATAAAGAGCTGTCCTTTGTGATTTTTCTGTAGTTTTATTAAAATGCAGGGCAGCGATCATGAATGTGTGAAGGCTGTGATCATAAATGAGATTCATTAGAGACTCACTGAGCTCCAGATTCACTGTCAGCACATTTTTTCCACTCATTATTATGTTGTGTTTTAAAGTCAAGTGCTCCAAACATATAATGCAGTGATCTGAAGAAATAAAGGCTCCTCAGAAGATGTGAGATGTTCTGGAGGCTTGTGAAGATCATTCCTCCGCTGAGGAACAGTGAAAGTAAAGCTTCTGGAAACAAACGCTCCTCAAAAGATCCTGAGGATCAGATTTGAGACTCTAAAACATGATTGATGGAGAATCAAGTAAAGCTGAGCTGCTTCAGTCCAGTAAGTGTTCATCTGGAGATATTACTGCAGTTATTCTGACCTTTACTTAATCAAAATCAGTCAAGATTTGACACGAGAAGAGTTTCTACAATTACTCTAAAAGAGCTTTGACTGTATAAAACACTCTAAACTCTCAATCAGAGACAGAAGACGTGAGGAGATTGAGTGAAACAGGTTTAACAACAAAGTTTGATCATTTAGAGGCTTATAAATGCACGTATCAAAGGGTTAATAGGGTTAAAAACGAAGCATTCGCCCTCCAGAGAGATCAGACTCAGTTCTGCTCATAATCTCAGAATAACGTAACACACACACACACTCACACACACACACACTCAAACACACACACACACACACACACACTCTCTCACACACTCACACACACACTCACACACACACACTCACACACTCTCACACACTCACACACACTCACACACTCACACACACTCACACACTCACACACACTCACACACTCACACACACTCACACACTCACACACACTCACACACTCACACACACTCACACACTCACACACACTCACACACTCACACACACTCACACACTCACACACACTCACACACTCACACACACTCACACACTCACACACACTCACACACTCACACACACTCACACACTCACACACACTCACACACTCACACACACTCACACACTCACACACACTCACACACTCACACACACTCACACACTCACACACACTCACACACTCACACACACTCACACACTCACACACACTCACACACTCACACACACTCACACACTCACACACACTCACACACTCACACACACTCACACACTCACACACACTCACACACTCACACACACTCACACACTCACACACACTCACACACTCACACACACTCACACACTCACACACACTCACACACTCACACACACTCACACACTCACACACACTCACACACTCACACACACTCACACACTCACACACACTCACACACTCACACACACTCACACACTCACACACACTCACACACTCACACACACTCACACACTCACACACACTCACACACTCACACACACTCACACACTCACACACACTCACACACTCACACACACTCACACACTCACACACACTCACACACTCACACACACTCACACACTCACACACACTCACACACTCACACACACTCACACACTCACACACACTCACACACTCACACACACTCACACACTCACACACACTCACACACTCACACACACTCACACACTCACACACACTCACACACTCACACACACTCACACACTCACACACACTCACACACTCACACACACTCACACACACACACACACACACACGTTTTCCGTTGTGTGTTCAGGTCAGTCGTGAGCGAATGGCAGCTTGTTCAAATCAAAATGACCAAACGAGTCTCTGACGAGCTTTTACTGCATGACAACAGCCCAACAAAACAAGGTCATTTCTTTTGTTGTCATACAGTAATTGCTTCCATGAGGCTTTCATAAGAAACATCTCTCACATTAATAATGAAATACTTACAGCACTGTGAAGAAATGTGAGGAAATCAAACACACACTTGGCTGAACTGTATAGCTATATGATTAATTACAGGATTGCAGATACATTGTTTTTACCTGAAATATTATAAAGCGCTCATGTTTTATGTTTATGTTTATGCTCATGTTTGACCACTGGACTGAAAACGGTTTTCTTACTGTAAAAGTAAATCCATTCGGTGGAAAAAAAAAGAACTTCAAATTACAAATATACAAATGCTACGTTTTAAAAGAACATACTGTTTCAGGTTTTCTACTTAAACATTTCATGTTTAATTCAATGTGTTAGAAATGTGAGGAAATCAAACACACACTTGGCTGAACTGTATAGCTATATGATTAATTACAGGATTGCAGATACATTGTTTTTACCTGAAATATTATAAAGCGCTCATGTTTTATGCCAGTTACTCATAATCTTCTTATTTGGGCTTAAATAAAATAAACATGGAAATGACCACTGGACTGAAAACGGTTTTCTTACTGTAAAAGTAAATCCATTCGGTGGAAAAAAAAAGAACTTCAAATTACAAATATACAAATGCTACGTTTTAAAAGAACATACTGTTTCAGGTTTTCTACTTAAACATTTCATGTTTAATTCAATGTGTTAATTGCCATTTATTTGTAGTTAACTGTGAAATTTACTTGCAATTTCTGAGTGAAAATGATTTCTACACCAAACCAGTGTGTTGTGAGATATATAATTATCACAGCAATATTTCTAAGCCTCAGAAATGTTTTTCCCTTTTGGCGCAAAAAAAACAAAACCTTTTTAAATATTATACAAAAAATATTTATATATTTGCTAAAATATACTTCATTCTACCAAAATATTTGGCAATTTCTTGCATATTTTTGAAAATATATTAAAAAAAATATAAATAGTAAAAAAATATATATATAAAATAAAAGAAAATAAAAAATTGTGAAATATTTTAAATATATTTTGCCCAGAAAAAAAAAATGGTGTAGGATTTGCTTTAAACAATTTTCACTCAGATATTGCTAGTAAATTTCACAAGTAATTACAAAGAAATTAACACATTGAATTAAACATGGAATTTTTATGTAGAAAGACCTAAATAGTGTTTTCATGTAAAATGTACTAGAACAAGCTTTGTTTTAGTTACAACTTTTTTTTACTTGATTTACAATGTTGTTACCCATCTGTGTTGACTGATAATCAGCTGTGCATTAAATATTCTCTCTAAAAAGCTATTAGGAAAGAAGAGGACTGAATTTGTGAATCGTTTCTTTGTGAACCGGTTAATTTACACAATCTTATGGAAAGGAGCGTGCCACTTGAAGAGCTTCATTGTGCAACAGAATCAGTATGATGCTTTCTGGAATCAAAATGGTGTAGTTATGAATTCTGCCAGCAGCACCTAACCAGGTCATACTAACCAGCCAAACCTTGACCTTTTAGCACTGAGCTGTAGAAGATGAAGATGGAGCTGCTGTTGTTTTAGCCTGCAACACTTTGAGAAATAATGATGACATGATGTTCTCTTTTTAAAAGTACACACTTGTGATTTTGTTTTGTTATTAGAAAACATGAGTACATTAGAAAGTGATTAGCGATTTGTTTGCATAAAATATGTTCTCATCAATCCAGTGTTTCTCCGTCCAGCTGAGCTCACACAGCTTTCACCTCCAACTCCATAAACCCAGGAGTCACAGACGTCCATCTTATCTTCACCAAACTGCCCATAATCTCAGATAAATCAGGATCTTGCTTGGCTCCTTCTCCTCCATCTGTTTGTTCAGCCTCTGGTTACTTCATGACTGAATGATTCAAACTCAATCATTCACTTGATTCAGCTGCAAAACCCCTCAAATTCATCTGGAACGGTAAACACAATACTCATCTATATGTCTCTGGTTTAAACATCGGTCATTTAAATAAAAAGTGGCATTTGTAATATATTAAAATGGCTTATTAAAATGTCTCTTAAGGTAACAATTGATGTTTATTCATGTGCATTGCTATATTGTTGCATATCAGGGTTATTATAGTTAACTAAAATTAAAACCATGAAAAACATGTTTGTTGCTTGAAATAAAATAAATCTTAAAAATCCAACTTATTTTATTTCAGATAGTTTCCTAAGCAATGTTTCTCATTTTAATTTTGATCAAAACTAAAATAAAAAATATATAGCTATATAGGCACACTTAAAAAAAGGAAAAAATAAAACAAAAAACACAACAAAATTACTAAGCCTTTAACTAAAATTAAAATGAAAATTTAAGATAAATTTAAAATTTAAAAATAAAATTTCATTTCTTATGTTAGTTGAGTTTAACTTAAACATAACTTTCATTTAGTTTCAGTAGAGCAACTAAATTGATATATAAAAATTAATTTAAAAACTATATAGACATATAAAAAATAACTAATAAATGACAAAACACACACACAAAAAAAATGACTAAACCAACAACATTTTACAAGGAAAATATATAAAAATTCAAAATCCAAGATGACATTAGTTTAGTTTAACTTTTGTATAAGTAGATAAAATGGCAATGATTAATTTCCCTCTGACTGAAAAAAACACTATTTTAAGCAATTTCAGGGCAGATACATAAATATAGTGACCCAGGTAAAAAAAATAAAAAAAGTATACCTGAATGCACTAAACAATACTTAAATACGAGTACGTTAGTAGTAGATTCTTATTTTTTGTGCTAAATAAAATTGTAAAATGTATGCACTGTAAATACACAGATTAGAAGTATATTGTGGTACTTAAAGTTCTTCAGCATGCGCGCGCTGTCTACTGAACGTTGATGACGTTCTGGGGTACTCTCCAAAATGGTGGAAGGCGGTAACTCCGGGAGAAGAATTGTTGAATAAATTATGTTATTATTGTTTTCTTTGTGCACAAAAAGTATTCTCGTAGCTTCGTAAAATTACGGATGAACCATGGACTATTTTACTGATGTCCTTGCTACCTTTCTATGCGTTGATCGTGGTAGTATCCTTGCTGTCTATGGAGGGTCAGAGAGCTCTCAGATTTCATCAAAAAGAAGATTTGTGTTCTAAAGATGAACGAAGGTCTTACGGGTTTGGAATGACATGAGAGTAAGTAATTAATGACAAAATTTTCATTTTTGGGTGAACTATCCCTTTAAGTACAACATTAGTGCGTGAAAATAGAACACTTTAAGTAGCCTACATTATTGTAAGTGTATGAAGTGTACTGAAATAAAGAGTATTTTATTGCACTTTTTTTTTTACCTGGGGATGCTGGATATCATCAGAAGGATGATAAATATTGTGAACTGTATCGCCTGATGTCAGAATCGCACTGAGCTCAGTTTTTCTGTTCTGCGCTGCAGCCAATCGCTCCATTATCAGTCTGGCTCCGGCCCAGAGCCGCTATAGCTGTCCTGTCGATGCACAAACCTCCTCATTCTTGACCTCGAGGAGGACTGAACTCAGCAGCTGCTATCAGAACATCATAATCACCAGCAGACACACTTCTCCACACCTTTAATAGAAACAAAAACTGCCGGCTTTCCATTCACGCCATCACTGTTGCTTCTCTCACTTTCAGCTCTCAGCATTTGTTTACTTGAGTTTCGACTTCGTCTGTCTGCTTCGACTCTCACCTACACACATCTACCTCCATGTGATGCAGCTTGTTTTGAAGGTGTCATAAACATGCATAAATATAAATATGGAGCTATGAAATGTGTTGCTGTACAGTAAGATCTGAAGCCCTTCAGGCATTCAACCTTAACAATGGGAATCACAATTAATTAAATGATAGGCCAACTCAATAGCAATGTTTATTTAAAGGGGTCACATGATGCGATTTCAAGTTTTCCTTTCTCTTCGGAGTGTTACAAGCTGATTGTGCATAGATAAGATCCCTGAAGTTGCAAAGACTAAAGTCTCAAAACCAAAGAGATATTATTTATCAAATTTAAGACTCTGCCACACCCCCCTAAAACGGCTCGTTCTAACACGCCCCCACATATCTACCTCACCATGTGGAAATATTAGCATAATGCCGCCCAAATGTGCACGAAAAGAAAGAAGGCGTGGTTTCAGTAACAGCAGTTAGTGTTGAAGCAGCCATGTCAGGGAGAC